CTTCTCCTCCATGCGATCAAGCCTTTCCTTGCATTTGCGCAATGCCTCGAGCTCGCTCGCCATATCCATGTTGACGATCTCGAGTTCGCAGTACTGCTTGACGAGGTCGTCATGACTTAATGCGCTGATTTTTTTGACGTGGTCGTCTGATGAATTGATGTACGAAGACATAGAATGAATGTACAGAGTACAGCTGTGATTGTCCTGGCCAGGAACTTAAAGCAATACGCTGTAGAGTGATTAAACTAAACTAAAAGAAAAAAGTTTAATATAAAGAGATGTACTCTTAATATTATTGAACGTTCACTTGAGAGTATGACAGTTAGTAATTGAAGACCCACTGTCTATGAATGAACGAATGATATAAACTTATTTATTTATAAAAATGATGATTGATTGGTGTAACAAGAGGACATACCTTGAGAGTATGACAGTTAGTAATTGAAGACCCACTGTCTATGAATGAACGAATGAAGTGATTGAGTGCGCGAAGCGACATCAAAACACTTTGGAAAACGAATCATTCGACTCTGGAAGTTCCTCATGTTACAAAAGGTTTCGATCAATGTGGGTCTCGATCCCACGACCTGCAGCTTAGAAGGCTGCCGCTCTTCCAACTGAGCTAATCAACCAATCGATGAGGTCAAAAACCAAATTTGTCCGGTTTTGAATTCGAAATTGGCAACACCACCTGTCAGCATCCCTGACTGGCTCACCAAATAGCCCCTTATTTAGAACGACTAATGTATAATAAACCAAGTGCACGTCTTCGACGTGTAGTAACACAAAAAAAAAGTTGCCACAATTTTTTATGTTGTTTTTTTTATCTACTAAATGTAAATTTAAAATGCAACATTATTTACTATTTTTTTATTGGAACAGTGGAGATGTGACGTTTGGAATCAGGTTTGAGTTACATAGGTAGTAAACCAAACGAGAAGCAATCCTTGCCTGTTGGACACTGCCCAAGAATGAGTAGTTTGGATAAACAATGTCCTTTGGTGTATGGTAGATAGTATCCAGATACGTGGTCAGTTGCTCTTGATAATAAGTGCTTGGTTGATCGGTAAAGTTGGATCCAGTGGCCAGTGTGACGGCAGGGATCCCGCGGTTCAAGAATGACAGTTGATCATTCCTGTAGAGCATATGGATCTGGGGGAATCTGTCGGGCGACACTGTCATCTTCTCGTCCACGGCCGAGGCATTGACAAACTGGTCCAACAAAGGCGCCAGTCCGACCCAGCAGCGTGACATCTCTGGTGACGTTGAGGAAGTTTACAATGTCAAAGTTGACGGCGGATACAATGTGCTTGTTCTGCTGGTCAAAGTGATCAATAAAGTACTGTGAGCCAAGCAATCCGTACTCCTCTGCTGTCACACTGACAAACATGAGTGTACGGTCCATTGGATAGATGGGACCGACCTCTGAGAATGTTGGTGTCGATGCTATCTTGGCGTAGAGTCCAAGTACGGTGGCCATCTCAAGGAGTAGTGCTGCTCCACTTGCATTGTCAACTGCGCCATGATAAACCTCTGTTTTGCCATTTACAGTGCGTGTTCCCAAGTGATCATGATGGGCCATCACAACAATAACATCGTTGGGGTGCTTTGCGCCAATCACACCAGCAATTACAGACTGTCCTTCAATATGTGTATTGGTTACCTGTTTGGATTGGATTTGATTAGTTTGATTGATTGATTAGTTGTGTATGAGAGAACGAAACTATGATGACGGGTCATCTTCATTTCCATCCTGCTATTACATACACTTAATGTAGTGGAGACTGTGAGTTGGGTGTCAATCGGTTGAAAGGTCGTCTGATTTGCACTCTCTATCCATTTGTCAAATGTAGTTGGTTGAATGGACGTTGATGCTATTTGGTTTGACGCACCCTCACTGATCCAACCTCTGATTGAGAGTGGGCTCTGCTGTGATTGCTTCTCCAACGACATCATTACAGTCTGATACTGCTGCACTATCTGACTCCACTTTTGGCCATCTTGGGCAGAGTTTAAGAACATTATACCTGCGCAGCCATGCTTTCTAGCCGCTTCATACTTCTTTGTCGTGCGTCCATAGTATCCAGCGTCCGTAGCGTTGAATGAACTTGGTGATCCAAACAATACCAAGACTACCTTGCCCTTGACGTCTTATGAGTGGAATGGATTTGATTGATTAGAGGCTGAGAACGCTTCATACTCTCCAATAGTACCAATTAACTTACCTATTGACTTGTAATCATCCCATGAAAGGTTTGGTGCTACGATACCATAGCCAACAAACACCAGAGGTGTTGATGATAGAGAGACCGAGGAGTCGTTGGTCTCGGTGGTGAGAGTAAAGTTGAGTGTGTACTGGAGATTGAGTGATCCAGTGGCGGAAGCGATCGACAAGGTAGGTGTGTTGGTGATGGAGGTGGTCACCAGAGGCACCTTTTGAATGTAAGTGCCATTGTCTCCCATTGGTTGCAGACCAGCGGTTTTGAAGATGGTCTCTGCGTGTTGTGCGGCCAGTGCCTCGCCAGGCGTGCCAGGTTGTCTACCCTGCAGCTCTTCGCTTGATAGATACTGTACATTTGATATGATTCTATTTACATCGATCGAGTCCAACACCCAAAGAGGTAACTTTGAGTTGAAATTGAGTTGATCGGCAGGATTAATATCCTCTGAGCTATCGTTTCCTTCGTCTAATATAAGTGATTGAGTATCGAGGGAGTTAGTTGTTTGGTGCTCCCATGTTCGCAACGGGGATGATAACATACGAACTAATGATGTTGACAATGAGACCGAGAGAAGTACTACAGAGAACAAAAGTGCAATGATACCAATGAATAGTCCAGAACACTTCATGCATCGCGGTGAGTAGATAAAGTTGAGACCAGGCAGTACCTGACTGTAATTAAGAATGAATGCGAATGAATGATTGAATGAGTTAACATCTTGGCTTTGAAGTTGATCTCATTCATATTACATACGACTGTCTAGCTGCTGCTTGTCCTTCAGGCTGAACCAGTGCGTCCAAGAATGTAGGTTGCTCCTGCATTTCATTACCCTCCTCCAAGTCATCATCTTCTTCTACTTGAGTGGCGTTCAACATTGTTCAAGTGTAATATATATTTATAGATGTAATGATACTATACTAATAATAAAGGTTGGATGTTGTTGGGAACACTTTAGTATTCATGCATTGAGTGGTGTCGACTTGGAGAAGTCTTGAAAGACTTCATTTTTTCATTCTTTAGATTCTGCACATCCTGTTGCTCAGCGCACTTTACTTTGTTCTCAAGACAAAACAGAGATAGACAGATAGATATATATAACATCAAGGATGGACACTGAATTGACACAACAAGAGATCGACGTCATCAGACAGGCAACAGAGCGCAGACAGAACTTGATAAGTGCAACTGAACTCATGTAAGCGATTAAATTCAATCAATGAATGATTGAACACAGACCGACTGACACTGATATATGTCCCGATGATGCTATACAATAGATATACCGCCAAGTACTTGAAACTTCAGGGTGGACAGCCAGACTACATCAGATACGATCGTTTCCCAAACACCATCAATAAGTTCAGAAAGGCTGGCTTTGCTATGAACCCATACGAGAAGGTTAGCAAGATGAGATCAGGAGAGATCATTTGCTATGGTCCACAATCTGTCGTCCCATCCGAGGGAAATGGTATGTTATCATACCATAACAATGGTCAATCAAGCATAGGAACTAACTAACTGATAATCATAATCATTATCATCACAACAGAGATCAATGTGAGGAAGTACTACTCTGAATGGGAGATCGACTACAAGCTATACGCTGAGAACCAGAAGATACTCACCAATTAATTATATGATTGATTGAATAGCGGAAGGAGTTTAAGCGAATGGTACAATAGCAACAACAATAAAAGCAGCAACAGCAGCAGCATCAACAACGACGTCAACAGCAGGCTTGAGTAAATCTCAACTCAATCAAACATATATGATAGATAGGTTGAAGGGTCATCAAACGACCCAAAGAACATACACACAGTGATGCATCAAGAAGGCAGACGACAACCAATCACACAAGCGATCACACACATTCAGTGACACTGATTGGAATTGAGTGAGAAGGTATTTAATGTATCTACACTACTCTGGTATATTGACGTCGCTAAAGTAATCACCAGAGTTCTTTGACGGATCAGCATTCATCTCAAACTCGACAAGATCAATGACGCCACTGATCTTGATGGCTTTGATATCGAATTCTGCTTCGTTCCATTTCTCGTCGGGGTAGATCGCACGCGCTACATCATAGTGCGTAGGCCCCAGCTGGCTATACAGAGTGGTCGAGTAGAAGACGTTGTTGCGTTGCAGATCCAAGAAACAAAACTCGCTCTTTGTAATGTCAAAGGTGCGCAACGTCCACTCGGCAAAGTATTGGCGCATGGAGGCCGAGTGCCAAATCCACGACGGCTTCTTGTAGAACATCCATGGGCACCATTCCACCTCGGGGAATGTCTCTATTAGATGGCGGCGGTACTGGATAAAGTCAATGTTCAGACCCATACGAGCAAAGTGGAATGGCGAGAACGAGAAGAAGTCGTGCGGTCGCAGGAGCTGTTCGTTGGCATACCAACGGAGCATTTCGCGCACGGTCTGAGGGTCGTCGTAGAGGCCTTTGGGTGCATGTTTGAACAGCCAGGGCAGCCATTGATAGTCTGGGAACAGGTAGGCAAGCATGCGAGCCATTGATCCGCCATGTTTCCTCTTTAAAATGCCATTGAGCATATCATCGGACTGAATGTGCTTCATCGTCAGGCCATAGTATCGTTTGAATTGTGGCTCTTCGCCCTCTTTATCGATACCTAGCGATATCATCAATCGTCTAAACGCGATCAAATGTTCTCGTTGGCCAGTGTTTAGAATGGTATAGTTTCTTGAATCGCCACTCCCCTCTTCGTTACCATTCGTGATCGATGGTACAAATGGTGTATTCTTGTATAAATCTATTGCATCGACTACCTCCTTGCTGACCTGTTCTCTGTGAGATGATACTCTATAATATCTAAGAGTTGTTGGACCACATCCACCTCCATTACTGTTCAATGTGCCATTATTATGTGTTGTTGTTGTTGTATGTATATGTTTGTTTGTATTGTTCGATGACTTGGTGACGGGCGATATCAATGAGGTTATCGCCCTCTGTGTCCACTGATGACCAACGTTGTTTATTGTTGTTGGTAATAGACTATTACTACTACAAATATTGCAGTGTACAATCTGTCTTCTACATAATGCTGATAATTGTATTCTATACATTAATGATAACCTTTCTTCTTCTTACGACTTGACAGGTCGTCATCGTGATGTATTGACATGGTCGTGCCTCGGTTGACCTTGTGTCCAATTAGTTAGCAGAAACAAAGTTTATGGGTTAGGGTGACAGATCGTCAAAACGTGAGACAGAATCCCAAAAGAAGAAGTTGAATGAGATGTCAAGCAAGGACCACACCAATATCTCTCGCTCAATAAAACACAACCAACACAAACATACTTACATAGATATACATACTAGTACTTATAATAATTATATATATATATATCATATATAAAGAGATATGAATCACGTATTCCAACAATATAAACAGGACTTTAAGGAGCTTGCTGAAACATTAAAGACAGACTTGAACTCTTTGAGCAATCCAATTATCTCTCATGATCAACAACTCATATTGATAAACAAGGTCGAGTCAGACTTGGAGGAGGCTCACGAGATTGTATGTGTCTAGCCAACTCATAACCAAACTGGCTCATTCACTAATTCACTATATCTCTCGCTCATACAATCAATCAATCAAACAGGTCCAACAGTTGGAGTATAGTGCACAGAACTCTGGACAGATTGCAACAGAGAGACCAGTGTAAATATTTATATTACCGAGTGATATCGGGATGTGTAGACCTGACAACATTCATACTAACATTACTCCCCTCCCCTTTTAGTATTGACGAGTACCTTAATATAATCAGAGATAGAAAGAATGATTTGGAAAAGATCACAGGTGTTCAATCAAAGCCAAAGAGTGTATGTTTCATTCGTCACTATAAACAGAGACGTCTCCACAAATAGCTAACATCGACAACAACAGCAAAAGAAAATCCGTTTCGATGAGGCCAACATTGTGATTAGAGAGGATGTGGACAACTATGTGGAGGAAGAGGATTTAGATGACCTGCGAAACGGACCAAAGTCAGATATCTATCTGCGTGAGAACGGTTTTGTTCCATTCGTCAAGAGGAATGCTCTAAAGATCACAGTAGTTGGAATTCTGGCGTTGGCCGCTGCACTCATTGTCATATTCGTCTACATGAAGAAGAACCAGAACTCACCGGACCAGAAAGTACATTAATCGTCCTTCAGACGGGTTCATCGATCCATTCATCCATCAATCCAATAGACGACTCCTGTGACTGTATTGTAGTAGTAATCAATCCCATCCATCAATCCATCCATCCATCAATCCCCAAATGTATCACTGCTTTTTTTTTCCTCCTCTCAAAGCCCCACCAAGTCAAATAACTCTTAAATGGATTCCATAAACACTTTCGTTAATTGATTAATTGATTGATTGATTGTCGTCGATCCCAGGGCAATGATGCAAAAATCACTTTAAAAAAAAACAATTTTGCAAAATAGATATATTTTAATTAATATCTTTTTTTTGGTTTGTTGGGCGAGTCTTCTCAAAAATAATTTTAGGGACCTGAAACAACACCAATGTGGGCCAACGTTGTTTTGTTTGTTTTGTTTTGTTTTCTCTGTGTGAGGACCTCACATGAGCCCTATCAATCATTGGTCTAAACCAGTCAATTACAGAAGAGACACATAAATAACACCAACACAACACACAAACAACATACTTTTATTATTATTATTATAACTTTCACAAACATACACACAATTCAATCATATAAGCAGGTGTTGATTGATTTGATTGATTGATTCTGACATCAACTCTTAAAGATACAGATACCACGACATATATATAACAGATATAAGATATCAAAAAGAGAGAGAGAGAAAGACATCAGGAACAATACAGGTAGGTGATTGGACCATCCATTTTATTTATGTATCATTGATGGCCCAAACGAACATTCCAAGATTATCACTGGATTGAAGCCATCACACGTCCACATACATACAACATCATTCACTCAATCACTCAACCATCAGTTTTAATATCAATCAACTTTGTTATGTTCGTTAGTGGTTGATTGATTGATCAAACGACACCACACACAATCAAACAAACACACAAACAAATACACACACAATCAACAAACATCAAGCTACAGGTTGTACTCTGGTGACTTGACCATCATGCCCATGATCGACATGTGGCCATTACACTTAACACTGATCATGCTTACGGCGCCACTACTATATTGCTACTATTATTACATCCGCGCACCCACTCGCGGACCCACATTTAATCAACAACGGATCATCATCTTCATCACCAACCATTGTAAACACCCACTCACACTCATTCACTTCACTTCACTTCACACTCTTCAAACTGGATTATTGGACTGTCAAAGAGTGAATGAATTGGAGATCTCACCCTTTTTTTATTCTTTGTTTGTTGGTTGTTAGTTGTACTTGTTGTTGGTGTGTGCACGTGTGTGTGTTTAGCCATCCTCTGTCACTCGAGTTCATGTCATGTGATCATGTTTCCTTTCTTTTATAAATGTTATAGATAGATAGAATAAATATATATTGTTATATTTTTATACATACATTCACTAACAATAATACAAACGATACAACGACAACTATAAAACGACAATAATACAGCAATAGCAACTCTAGCAACTCTAGCATCATCATCATTACAGATCACAGATCAGTATTATTACACTTGCCTGTATGACAATGGATGCTCAAGACCCATTTGCTAAATACGTAAGTGTTATTATACTCCAGAGGAGGAGAAGGAGACTATAGTACTGACTATGACTGATGAATGAAACAGCAAATTGGTGAAGCCATCGGTAAAGGTGCATTTGGTAAAGTTTACAAGGCATTGAATACAGATACAGGTGACTTTTGTGCCGTCAAACAGATAGAGAAATCGATTATATCAGAGAAACAACTCCCAAGTATATTGGTATGTTGATTGGAATGAATGATTGAGATTGAATGAATGAATGAATGATCTAACAATACAATCAATCAAATATTATAGCAAGAGATCAAACTACTTCAAACATTACAACATAACAATATTGTCAAGTTTATAGAATCACATGAGACACCAAAGTTCTTGTTCTTTGCATTGGAGTTCATTGAAGGTGGATCACTGGCAAAGATTGCCAAGCGATATGGTAACTTTGCAGAGCCATTGCTCAGTCGTTACATATGCCAGGTGCTGCGTGGATTGGAATACTTGCACGACAAGGGCGTCATTCATCGTGATATCAAGAGCGACAACATTCTGATCACAAAGGAGGGCGTCATCAAGCTAGCCGACTTTGGCTCGTGTACATATTCAGCGCTGGATCGCAAGCTGACCGTGGTCGGCACACCCTTTTGGATGGCGCCCGAGGTCATCCAGATGGACATGAACGCCAGAAGCACAGCCTGCGACATCTGGAGTTTGGGCTGCACGATCCTGGAGCTGCTGACCGGCAACCCACCCTACTGGGAGCTGGGTACCATGCCAGCCATGTTTGCCATGGTCAACAACCCGCACCCACCTCTGCCGCCCAACATCTCGTCCGAGCTCAAGAACTTTTTGATGGCCTGTTTCGTCAGGGATATCAACAGACGACCGACCGCGACTCAGCTAATGGAGCACCCGTGGATAAAGATGCACCAGGTCGACGACCCCAAGAAGGCGCACAGGGTCAGCATTCGAGCGGGCGCGTTCGACGACGAGCCACAACAGCAGCACGACGACCACGACGACGAGAACGCATCCTCTGATCTCAAGGAGCGCGTCACACAGCTCGAGGCACAAAAGAAGGAGATGAACTACACAATACAAAAGTTGAAGGTGCACTTTATTAGAGCGATGCGCGAGAAGAAGCTGATGAAGGAGATGATCGCCCAGTTGGTACAGGAGCGCGATGGCTACATGGTCAAGCTGGGCATGACACCCCCGCCCCCACCCAGCATACTGGCTACGTCCAATGAAAAGGGCCAGCCCAATAGTAAGGGCACAATGGATGGCGCAGAGATATTAGACTCATTGAGCAGACATGCGCGGTCTTCTTCCGCGCCCATCACCCCACCAATCAAGATCGCCACAACCACACCGTCGCCACTGACCACAGGCGCATCATCAAGCACCAGCAGCGGACAGGGCTCAGGTTCATTCAAGTCGACCAACATCCTGTCGTCCGATTTCTTCCAGCCACTAGACGATGATTCAGACAGCGATGACCCCTCTGATCAAGGCTACCTTATCTCCTCATTCTCTGACCTGCACGCTGCACGTGGAGCATCAAGCAGCAGCAGCAACAACAACAAGAAAGGCACCATTCCAAGATTGACACGCAACGACGGCGATCATCCAGAATTCCAATCAAACACCGGACTCAATGGTTATCTATCCACGAGCGGATCTCTACACGTCTTCCAGGCAACGGGCGACTCATCCTCGGGCAGTCTCATCTCGAGCTCGCCCTCCTCCTCGCACCACAGTATGATTGGCGGCTCACTCAACATAAATGGAATCACCTCGGGCAAGAGCAGCATCAGTTCGAACGGCGGCGGCAACGACAGCCTGGGCAGAAAGCCAGTGCTGACGCGCGAGCCCTCACACAAGTCACAGCTCAACCAAGTGATGCAACAGCAACAAATCATCAAGGAGCGCCGGAACAGTTTGTCGGGCAAAGAGAGCATACTGAATATGAGCGGCAGCATCTCGTTGAGCAGCAGCGGATCGGTGCCCCGCAAGTCGTCGCAGCCGATGCTGCCCGGCGGCTCACTCTCCAACTCGAGTGAGCGGTCGCTCACCAGCAGCGGCAATCTGGAGGATGGCGAGAACGCGCAGACCGTGCCACCCGTCGAGTCGATCGTCGTCAACGTACAGCCACCACGCATCGGCGACGAGTGTAAAGTAAAGTGTGGCGATGGCTGGTACGACGCCGTGGTGGAGCTGGTCAGTGGCTCAACGTTTGTCGTCACCATCAAGCCATTCAACATCAAGCAAGAGGTGTCCCAGTCCGATGTAACATTAGCCCCGCTTCAATTCCCCGTCAGCACAAAGAAGAAGGGCAAGTTTAGTATATTTAGTAGTGGCAAATCGTCTGGCAAGACGTAATAATCATCATTAAAAACTATATTATTAGTATTCGAATATCGTCTTCATTGATTGATTGATGGTGATAATTTTTGTTCCAGAGTTCAGTCAATTCCACACACTTTGATGATGGAAAAGGAGTGGAAATACCTTTTGAGCCCCAATCACAAAGGCACAATCTTGTATTGATGAGCTCCACTCTCCATCCTCTCAGTCTCATTTCATCAACATCAACTTCACTCATTAATTATCAATCAAATACTGTTTTGCTCTCTTCTCACACTCTGTCACTCAATCAATCAATCATTGACCATCACAAATGACATTTGCACATAGTTTAAAGAAGTTATATATTAGTTCTGGTATTGGTCTTAGTACTATGGTTGGTGTAATGGTAGTTGTTCCATTGATTGCCAGTGCACTTGGATTTAGAAGTCCAGGTATTGTAGTAGGATCCATTGCATCAAAGATGATGTCCATACTTGGTACCATATTACCAATACGCGCCCTACAGAGTATTGGAGCCAAGAAAGTGTTTGGAATACCATCAGCATTCTACATTGGAGTGATCGTCATGATCTATGTACATAGAAAGTTGAAATAAAGTAATCAATTATGCATGCCATAAGAACCACTCCATGATGGTGTCGATGTCAATGAATCCACATTGAGTGACTTGGTTGAGAATGGACTTGTCATACTTGAGGAATGTTGTGTCATTGATTCGATACAGTTCAATGTTGAACTCTCGCTTATCAACCTTGATACAATACAATGACTTGGTTGCCAACAACTGTTCCATTGAATTAGATTCTAGAATTAAAAGTTTTAAACTTAGAGTATGGATTGAAGGTGGCAGATGTCTTGGGTTAAATTGTTTACAATACTTGATGGAAACAATGTATAATCGATTGGATGATTATAGTAATTGAGTGATAATGAACGGAGTGATTGAGGCAATGATGCCGACATGGTGTAAACAGAGTGAAATCTGAGCTTCAATGAATCGAGACCTTGAGGAAATGACCACATTGTGAATTGTCCACTGACATGTATCTTTAGATAAGTCAATGTTAGAGGGAGTATTGAGGAGTCCATCACTGCCGTCATAGTTTGATGAATAATAATGGATGGTTTGCAATTCAGTGATTAGAGTGATGGGAATAAGGTGCTGTTCAGATCTTTAACATTCACCTCTGTCTTCAGTTGGGTGAGCTTTGGAAAGACGACACCAGGAGCAAAGGACGCATCCTCCCGCATCACAAGTTTGACACTCGCATGATGACTGAATGGATGGCAGTATCTTGCACAGTCCAGAGTGACATCGGTGACGGATTCGGGAAGGTGAGCGGCTGATTGAATGATCCACCAAAATGGACACGCTCCATGGTTGGCGGGAATGTGCCATCGGCAATCGGTTGATTGAATACTCGTGACAGGATTAGAATCTTGAGGCGAGGCGGGAGTGTCCCTGGATATATGACACAATATTTCGTAACAATTGAAACTTATCCATCTTGATTGATCTGGTTCGGTCGGTTATCGATTGATTGAGTGTCAGTGAGTGATCAATCGATCAACGACGTTATTATTATTACTTTGAAGTTGATGTTGTTGTTGAGATGTACGAAATGAAGGACAACCATGCACCGAAATCAAATAAATATTTTGATAAACTTTTTATCTTTAAAAATATCTTTTTGATATATCTCAAAATTATATCTTGATTATCATAATGGGTCACTCACTGGGATGTGTGTGTGAAACACAATGATCATTCAATCAAACACTCGCACATCATCACACAAAAACACAAAACACAAAACACAAAACACACAAAACATAAAACATTGTTTGACTGTTATTATGCAAACAAGTGAGCCCGGGACCCACCCCATTTACACAATTTTGTAATTGGTCCAACTATTCATTCAACTTCGAGCCCCAACCAAAGACCACATTCAAACAAATATTCTCGTTTATTCATAGAGATAAATAATAATAATAATAATAACACACAAATAATAATACATATAAGCAATAATATAATAATATAAAGGAATGAGTGTATTTGCATCATTGTTGAGAAGGAGTACAAGTACATTCTCATCGAATGCTATTAATACAGGTGATAAACCAGCACAGACACCTTTTGGTGATGTTTGTTCAGACTCTGTTGTGGAGCCAGAACAGTTGAAGACTTTGGAGAAGAGTTTAGCCGATGCAAAGATCTTGTTGACAGAGTTACAAAAGAATCTAAAGTTGTATACAAAGAAGGGAAGCTCATTGGCCAAGAACCACAGCCAATGGGCAAACTCCTTCTCCAAAGACCATGTCCGATCCATCCAAGTATCAGCACATTCTCAACAAATCGCCCAACAACATCAGCTCACCGATGCCGAGAAGGAGTCACAAACTGGAATTGGTAAGTCATCATGATCACTTGGTGGAACTATTCCATGATTATTCAAATCAAACTAACATTTGTTAAATCAATCAATGTAGATAAGGCATTGGAACAGTTCACATCGTCTGGTACAAAGACGGCTGGCTTTGAGACTGACTTTAACAATAGCGTTAATGAATCGTTCACAAAGCCTGTATTGGCATTGCTTGCCAACATTGAGGAGAGGAAGATATACAAGAAGAAGTACGACAAGGCAGTTGGGGAATACGAGACCCTAATTGGAAAGATCAAGAATCAACAAACTCAAAAGAAGATCGATATACTAAAGTTGTATAATGTATGTTATCATGATTGATTGAGTGCGAGCATGGTCACTGACTAACACCCTCCCTTTACCATGGTAGTATGAAAGAGATAAGACAAAGGCCAAGGCTCACTACGAAGTGATCAAGCTTGAATATATTGAGTTCCTGAAAGATACTTTGAATAGATTGCATACGGACTTTATTGATATATTGGTGAAGCATAATGATACTATCACGTTGGAGTATGGACATGCTTACCAGGAGTACGCTGGCATCAAGAACTACATCGATACATTGAGGACATGGTGTCTCTCAGAGCAAGAGTTCTACAAGCAGGAGGCGGGCGAGCGCGAGCAGCGACGCATCCAGGACGTCGACCAGGAGCTGCACGCCAAGTTCCAACCGATCATCCAACTACTCAGCACGCCACCCTTTTCCATGTATCACTACATGTCCGAGGTGCGCAAGAATGAGCTTTTCCCGCCCCAGGTCATGACACCGAACGGACCGTCGTCGCCAGTGCAGGTCTCGCAGCCAATCAACTTCATGCCGCAGTTTGTGCGAATCGTCGACTCATCGTATCAGTTGTCCGATCTGCTGGTGCAGCAGGTCAAGGCCGACCTGCCCAACGTTGCACTCAACGCCGGTACATTGTTTGCCAACAATGTCATTGCTGGTGAGCTCATCGATGAGATCTCCAGACACTTGGCCACACCCTATCTCAAGCATATCTTTGACACGGCGATCACATCAATCATCAACAATCCAGAGCGATACGATCCACTGTCTGCCCAAGGCATCGACGCATTGATCAATGAGTTCCACAACACAATGGAGACTGTCATGGTGTCCGAGAAATACCTTCCACCGTATGTTTGTCAAGTCATCCAAGAGCAGGGCCATGGGCCAGACACTAACAATCACTCACTCACTCATTCATCATCTTTACAGAGCATTCAAGAAAGCATCGAATGAGATATACTCACATTTCAGCAGCTCGACTGATGATGCACCTCTGGGATGTTTGTTGTTTGGAAAGGTGTTTGCAGTGTCTGTGGCCAAGCCACATATGAACAACTTGTTCCATGTGATACCCTCGCAGACGGCACTCGAATCACTGCACTTCTTCTCAACACTCTACACGACACTTGGTGCCAATCAAACATTCACAAAAGGTCCACATCAGCAATTGAACGACGCGCTGGCCAGATGGAGATCCAAGCTCAAGGACTTCTTTGGATCATTGATGTCGAGCGATCTGACCGAATGGGAGTCACAGGTTCCCCAGACCTCGACCTACCATAACGACGTGCCCACCGTCCAGAAGTTCCTCAAGCAGCATTACCTCGGTCTCTCGCTGGCGATGCAACAGCGTGGTGAGCGCGACCTCTCCCATCAATTCCTAGTGGCACTTGGACATCTCGAAGCTGAGGATCCAACCGTGATGCCAACCGAGACCAAGACAAACTAGGTGATGATGATGACATTGTTACATTATTCCAAATACATCATATCATACAGCCAAAGGCAAACAGATTATACATGCAAGCACACATCATCCAGACACAGGTTTATTCAAGCTATTTGGTAAAAGTTGTTGATTGTGATGGCTTCGACATTGAGTTGGATCGATCGTTCGTTGTCCTCATTCTCGGTTGTCATTGGTGTCAGTATCACGTCAGTGTTAACATGTTTGCCTACAAGATTGGACACCAATGACTCATACTCCTTGGACTTAAGTTGATCATGTATCAATGGGAATTCGAATATATCTGTACAACATTGATTGGGGATCTGATGTTGATTGATTGTTTTGGGTGTTAGTCCATCGTCCTTGATCCATGTCTGTCCAAACACATACCTTTAGATTGAATAGCCATTCATCAACTTTGACAACAAGCTTCAACTCGACCATTAGTGAACTGTCAACGAGTCGTCGACATTTGGAACAAAAGAACTGTTCTTGTGAATATCCGAGGACATGGTCACCGTAGAATGGTGAGACAACGGTGTTGCATGTCGTGCATCCTCGGTAGAGGAAGTCTGATCGGTTGGAATCCATCACCACTCCATTGACATTGACAATTGATTGATAGCATGATACCAATTCGAATGAATCCTCAATGGCTCGTAGATAATCCAGTGGAGGTGTTGATGTTCCAGGCGCAGGTGCAACACTACAATCATCGCCATCACCATCTTTGAATACGATTGAGTACTTGTCGGCCAATAGCATTGATGCTGCTGGTGTGGAGTATGCTGATGGTGGCAACATCATAGCATCTTGAATGAGGACCACATCACCAATGTTAAGGTCTTGCAAAGGGTATCCTTTGTTGCATGCGGACAACACGTTCAGACTGCATGATGTGAATGAGATGGTTCCACTCTCAGCAGGGTCGTCGCCGGGACTTGACTGCTGTCCCTTCAAGAACAACAGGGTGGATTGCCGTCCATTGCGTTGAATGTGCTCGACTGTGCCTTGTATGTTGAATCTCGTCCAGAGGTAATCGGCGAGTGGCTGTTGATAAAGTTGATTGATAGTGAATATCGTTTGATCTGGTTGATAGATTGATTGATCGTCGGACGAGCGTGGCTGGAGGAAGAAGGTCGAGTTGGGGCGTACACGCAGGATGTTGTAGTTGAATGATGTGCTTGGTGTTCGAAGGTTTGGATCGATGTGATGGAGGAGGAATGATCCCTGTGGGGAGTCACGCTCAACTCGCTGGCTGGAAACATATTGTAGATTGATGAATATACACTCGGACAGGATTGATTGTTCGTTTTCCAACAGGTCCACCCACTTGGGCATCAAGTACTCTGGGACTTGTATCTCGTTGACTGCGCCTTGAAGATTGGTCACCAGTATCTTGACATGTCTGTCATACTCGGCCATGGCCAGACTGGTGGCGCTCACCAATGGTGATCTCGTATCCATGTTCTGTTGCTGCTGCTGATGCTCGAGGGGTGTCCTAAAGTCAAGATATCTGAGTAGGACAGTCATAACATTGATCTCGGTGATGTTTTGATTGAGCTGATCAATGTCCACGAGGTCATAGTTGAGCAACACTTTGCCAAGATTACATTGGCTGAATGCTTGTATATCTTGTGCTGGTGCAGGGTCCCTCAATTGTGTATGAGGATCATTGATCGTTATTGTTTGTAGCTTGTCCATTATTGTATCGGTGGTAGTTGTTGATGATGATGATATGTTGTCGTTAGAGTCTGGTGTGTGAGTCCTTCCCGCCAGACATATGATTGTTGGCGATTCGCGTGTAGAGTGCTGAACAAACTGCCAATAATCAATGTTGATTGTTGTGTTGAGCTCCAGTTTCCACTTCTCCTTCATCTCCATTGAGAATATAACAGTGATTTGTGCATTGTTGTTCAACAGAAGCACATGTTCATCATTGTCGCCATTGCCACCGACACCATTGTTCAACACACGACATTGAGTGACATATACGTGTGGCTGCAGTGGTGATGGGAGCTGAGTGACCTTGACCAGTACCTTGTGATCGTAGTGGTTTGGCAGTGGTGTGATCAATGATTGAGTGTTCTGGGCCGCAGTCTTCTTTGAGACCAATGAGATGTTGTTCTGTTGCTTGGTGAGTAGGCCCATAAGCTTGGAGGTGATGCCGCCACGCTCAAAGTTCTTCTTGGCAAACTTGATTGGTGTGCTCTTTGTCGGTGTCTGTTGATCCACGCTGTCCATGTCATACTTGAGCCACTTCTGATTGGCCTGTGGAGTGCTGGCCACGGAAGTGGCAGTTGATTTGTTGTTGGTTCCAGATGAGTTTGGCATCGCGTCATTCATACTCTTCACAAAGTTACTTTGAAGATCTTGGTAGTCCGATGGGTTGACTGGACCATCATCAATCAAGTTATCCTTGACATACTTTGGATTTGGTGTATCCCAATGCACATTGCTCGAGCCGATGTTGTCGTTATTGTTATGATTCGGTTCATCATCAATGTCCTCAATATGCTGTTGATTGAATGATTAGTGTGAGTAAGTAATTGATTGATTGATTGAGTGAGAGTGAGAGAGTGCGTGGACATACCTTCCTTGATGGCATCTGGTTGCGGAACACATCGATAAGTTGGTTCCTGGAGTAAGACTCTTCGAATCTAGGTGGGACAGGGGATCGACTGTGATCGTCAATGTTTTGGACTGCTTCGGTGTTGTCATCATACTCGAGTGATGGCTCAATCTCATCCTTGTCATGTTGTTGTTGTTGTTGTTGTTGATGTTGTTGTAGTTGGTCCGCACCATATTGTGTCCAATCAAATGATAGTTGACTACTGCTTCTTACTAATGGTCGCAGGATTGATACAATAGGTTGTTGTTGAGATGCAGGACCTGCCTTGGCAGAGGAGGCTGCATTGATTGTCGATTGAGTCAAAGACTGTGATGGTGGTTGTGATTGAGGCACTTGTGAAAGGCTTGATTGACTCATATGTGTGATGGTTGAGTTATTGCGATCATGATGCTGAACAGCAGTATTCGAATCCTGCATGAGTATGCCATTGAAATACTCCTTGTCCTTCTTGAATGAGTTGCCCCTGCTCAGGCCAAACAGTTTGGCAAGTCCAGATGCTTGTGATGCTTGTTGTGCGCCAACTGGAGGTGCAGCTGCACCACCACCGCCCTGGATCTTCTGTGTTGGTGTCAAAGGTGTCATGTCATCATCATTGCTATCGATTGATTCCTCAGTCCTGAACGAACCACCAGTCTTCCTCTTGTGACTACTACTGGCAGTAGGTCTATAATAGGCCATTGTATTATTACTGTTTGATGATTGTTGTTGAGGTACTGGCATGGTTGGATCGATATAATCATCGTCATCATCATCATTGATACTGTCAACAACTGAATCACCTTGGTTGTTGTAATCATCAATGTTGTTGTTGTTGCTGAACAATGGTATATCAACATCTTTGCGTGATGAGTGGTGGCCATTACCAGTCGATGATGACGACGATGATGATGATGACGACTGTACCAAGTTAAGAGTGATTGGCGCTTTCTTTCGGTGTATCTGCATCTTTGAATGAGAGCCATGGGGTGTTGATTGTTTGTGTTGTGTGTTGGACTGTGGCGCCAGGAACATGCCATACTTGAATGTTGGCGTGGCATGATAGGTGGCCAACTCTTGATGTTGTTGTTGTTGAGTTTGAATGCGTTGTTGTTGTTGCTCATAGTGATAGCTGTCCCAGAAGCCACCGCCGCCATCATCATTGTTGGTATTGACATTGCTGCTGACTCCCATGGGAGTTGATGATTGAGTGGCAGACAACTTTTGTGGCGTTGATTGTTTGATCGAAGATATAAAGTCCCTTCGTGATGGTGTAGCGGTGGGAGCAGTGCCAACATTGTGCTTGTTGCCAGTAGTAGTAGTGATATGTACATTATGATGATCATCTTCAACGAGGTCAATGCTGTCGACATTGGCTTTGGATGTGACGGCAGAGTCATGTTGGGCAAAGATGTCATCGTCCAGGTTGATGCTTATTTGTGTTGTATCGTGCTGTTGTTGTTGTTTCGAAGAAGACGATGATGAAGAAGTAATTGAACTGAGTAACTTGTGTTTGTCAATGTATGATGGGGGAGGTGATGTGGAGGCTGTGTCACTCAGATCAATCACATCTGCTCCCCTCCCCTGCGCCGTCTTGTTCTTCAATGCTTGTTGAGGCTTCTGTTGTTGATGTTTCTTTAACTCCTTCCTAACTTTATCGAGATGTTGATGATGTTTATCTTTCTTTGATGATATGAATCCACTTGCGTTGGTGCCTCCTCCACCTTTGATTGGTGATGTTGTTGATGATGATGATGATAGTCCACGTCTATTACCATGACCATCATCTCTGTCGAATATTATATCATCATCATTCATAGTCGTGTCATTGTTTGTACCTGTTTCAAAGAGATTGGCATCGATAGTATGCTCAGATACAACATAAGACAATCCAAATCTTGATGTCAATTTACTTGGCTTATTACTAGTGTGTGATGCAACACTCTTCTTTCTCTCTATCCAATCTGCCATATATATATATATTCTCTGTTTCAATATTTCTGAAAGTAAAGAAGAAGTAGTAATTAATGATGATGTCTGACAGTCATTATTAAAATTTTTGAATTTAGAAGAAAACAGAAATATTTATTAGAAGTAAAATTCATACAAAGGAAACAGATGTACTATTTCCTCAATCCAAGATCGTCCAATCAGAATTGAGTGATCACTGTTTCAAGTGTTCATACACACACACAGATTTGTATGAACAAATGAAATGGCAAGTGATTGCTTACACCTCACTGCTGTCGCACAAAACGCGCGCAAAATAAAACAACACACAAAAGAAAATAAATAAATGAAAAAAAAATGTGCCAAAGCAACAAGAGGCAACCACGCACGCAGGTATCAATCACTGCACCCACCCCACGAATTCATTTCATTTGAATTTAAT